GGGCTTGGCTCGAAGGCCGGATTCGGCAGGTTCAGAGGCACCGGGGCTCACCCTGCGTGTGCAAAAATGCAGGATCTAAGCCCAGAATACCCCCCGGGTATTTTGTGATGCTGAAAAGCCGCCCCAAAATACATGCAGTAGAGGGGGATGCTCCCCATGAACCCAGCCAAAAAAAAGGAATGTTTGAGTAATTTGAGGAAGAAGTGCAGGTTTTGCATCGGGCACTTCTCCCCCCTCTTCTCCTCCAGTTTGGCACAGACTGGGATGTCTACCTCACCAAAGCTGACGGCACCTATATCGTCAAGAGGCTGGAGGAGCTGCTGCCACTCTCCTTCGGCCCTGAGGACCTGAAGAAGGTGTGAGTGGCACGGCCGCCTCCAACCTTTGCCCTTCGGCAGCAGGGGAGGATGGTTTTCCCCAGTTTCCCCAGCGTGTAAGTGGCTTTTTGGGGACGATGCAATGGGAAATGCGTTTATAGTGTTAAGTTACCCGTTCCTCCTGCTCATCTTCTGATTCAGCGCTGATTCGCAGACGCTGGCCCCACCTCGCCCCGGGGAAACAGCGAAATCAAATCGTAGAAATTCCCTGTTATTAGAAAAAGAGTGTCCAGATATCACTGTAGTCGAGGGGGAAGTTCACAGGCAGAGAAGAGTTTGATGCACGGCTCAAGCTCGGGCTTGTTGGTACAGAAACCACTCCTGAATAATGCAAAATCTTGGGAAAATGCTGAATTCTTCAGCTCTAAATGAGAAGCAAAAAGGAAAGGCTCCATCAACCCCAGCCATTATTAATAAGCCAATTTAGATTAGGCAATTTGCTAGAACTGCACAGTTACCATGCTGAGCATGTCCTTTGCTTGTTTCTCTTCGGCTTGTTTTCTTTGCTTTTATTCTGTTTCTGGGGATGAAGAGGGAGAGGAGTTTTTGAGGGCTTCTGGAGGGTCTTCTGTCTCCAGAGTAATGCCGTTTGCTGATTGTAATATTAATTTAATAATGCACAATGAAAAACAAATGTGTTACATTTCCCAACCAGCACTGGGCTGGGCATTACTGCCTATGCCCAAGTGAAATAAAAGCAGTCCTGGTTTATCTCCTGCAGTTGCAGCAAATGATGAATCGCAGGGAACAGGGCAGGAGGGCGCTGGCTGCGTAGGCAGGACACGACCAGGGCACTGCATGGCCAAGCGTGGCCAGGGCAGTGCTGCCCACACAGCCTGCGCCCTC